ATTTACAAAAAGGTTTTTCTGCTTTATTACTAGTAAATTCGTTGAAGCAATTTGTAAGACACCTTCATGTACTTATCTAAGTACCCTTTAAAGTCCTGACTTATAACCAAAGTCTCCTGGAGGGAGAGCGTGAGTTTGTGTATAGATCTATACGGGACTGACAATCCCGCACCTGAGCTGCTTGCAACAGCTAGGTCGGCAGGCCTGAGGTAACAAATGTCATAACGTTCCAACGCCTGAAGAACGTCGTGTAGGCCATTAGTCATATCAGTATGGTTATAAGAACTCACAAGGAGAAAACAACGACATATTTACGTAGTAATTTACTTTTCTTAAACAGTCTTAAGAGGTACTGACTCTGTGATTACTCAGTATATACATCATGGTTATATAAAATTGATGTCCGGTAGACAGTGGAATGTGTGATTTCCGCCTTACTTCCTGTTCCTTGTTTGGTTGTGGGCTTAGGGCAGATTCACCCATTCGACTGTCTATTCGATCTTGATTTTATACAACTCATATGTACTAAGTGATCATAGGAGGGTAGTAACATCGCATCTAGTTTACAGGGTAAACACATCTTCAGCTAGTTTTACTTATAAATAAAATTAGGTATCATTAAACTAAGTATGGTAATTATACTTGTGCTTTCCGGTCTTGGAACGATTAAAACTACAAATCGGTTTCATAGAAAATATAGGATTTTCTAGGATAAACATCGTTATTTTAAAGGTAAACAATTTTCAATTCAAAACAAAAACGATATTTACTGAAAACAATGTTTTACACAAGAGTAAGTAGAACCAGGAACATAATTACAAAAAGGTTCAACACTTAATTACAAACTTGTATAACTTAAAGGACCCTTATTTGTTAATTCTATAGTTCCTTATTTTTAACATCAGAGTTATATATAAATAATATCCGATAGGTAGTGGAATGTGTGGTTTACGCCTTACTTCCTGTTCCTTGTTTGGTTGTGGTCTTAGGGCAGATTCACACATTCAACTATCCATTCAATATTAGTTTATATATAACTAGTATAAACTAAGTAATCATAGAAGGAACTGGCATGGTCACACTTCTTACTAAGAAAATATAGGATTTTCTGGAGGAATACACGAACTTTTCCAAAGAATAAAGAATATACTTTTTATAACAAAAACGCTTATGAACTCACCAACTTTAATGTTGACACTTTTTCAAACCACTTGTATTCTCAGGAACGTTAGTAGACAGGTACCCTCTCAGGTGTTGCGAAGACGGAGTATAGTAGTATTACATCTTACCTTTTGCTATAGTTTTAATGTAAATCAAACAATGTTTTGAACACAATGTAAACTTTATATTATCAATACAATGGTTGTTGTTGCTTTGATTACTATTATACATTTGTTGTGATACTGTACATGACGTCCTCCGCACCCGAACGTTTCTGTCGTTCCGGTTTGGGGGTGTGACAGTACTAGCAATCATCGACAAAATAATCAGGTATCATAAGTTCGTTTACAACTGCACGATCTATGTTCATTACAACTCTAGTACTTCTGACATGCAAACTTTCTACTTTTTGATCGAAAATGGTGCCTACCACTCAAACAAATGTGGTGAAAAACATATAATCGCATAATGAAGATGAAAATTCCATACTTTAGTTGTTTCTAAAATGTTATCCGAATAGAAGGGTGAATTGTTTGTGTGAAAAGTTTATAAAAAATAAATGTAGTTATAAGGTTAATTTTGAAAAGAAGAAATTAAAAATGAATACATATATTTGCTTGGAATTATGAACTTTATTGGCATGACACCGTGTGGCTGATACCACACCTCTCCATGCCAACAAAGTGTCAAGTGAGTGGGGAGGGTGTTCATGTTGTGAAGAAATGCCCAATCTCAACATTGGTGTCATAGGCGTGGTGTGTATACGATATATAGCCTAATGGATTAAATTTGAAAATCCAGCCATGTGTACGAAGTTTGGCTTTTGATCAAAAATAATTTCGACTTATTGCCATGCAAATAATGATAAAAACTTTATGTGCTATACCACAATAGACCTTTTTTGATTTATTTATTTTATTTTATTTTATTTTATTTTTTCGTACAACCTTAAGAGGATCAGCAATACAAGAGCTTTTGGTGATTTTTTTGAAAAAACTTATTTCATCGTTACAATAAGAGTTTTTTCAATTTGCTCATTTATGGGGCCTGTTATATTTGTTTTTTTTTTCATTTATTATTGTTTATGTAAGTTATTTATTTCCATTTAGTTGAAAACTTACTAGACTTACCATATCATTGAAAAAACTAATAACAATACTTTGTTAATTAACAAGCTCCTTTGGAAAATTTTGGTTTGATAAAATTCTTCCAATAGTTTTTTCGATTTTCAAGAATTTTTGGTTTGAAAAAACTCCCAAAAAAAAACCTCCAATTCATATGTTCTAAATCATTGTATCTCCTAAAAGTGTTATTTTTATGTTTTCAATTTTTTTTTTACTTGTGTGACCGACACTCTCGTCAAAGTATCAAAAAATTGATTATTATACTCTTATAAATCAAGTTTAAATCCTTAGTTTTATCGATTAATCTTCTTATAAATCAAAGTTTATAATATCACCTATACCTTTTATAAAATTTCAAAATATCATATTTACTCAAAAAGAAATCTTCAGAGAAATCCTAATATTTTAGTTTAATTTATGAAAAATTCTCAAACTAAATTTTGTTTAAAGAAAAACATAGAATATCGGCTAAAACTTCAAAAAAAACCATTTTTGTCCGTTTTACAGATTTAACTGATATTCTGTCATTTTTCGTTAGTTTGGTCAAAATATTTGGACTTTTTCTAAAAATTACCCAATAACCAAAATATTGAAACTTTTTTAAAAATTACCATGGAATTAATGTATATTATTATTAAAAAAGTTATTTATAAACATAATAAATATCTTTATTATAAACAAAAGAAATACATTTGTTGCTAATTTCTAAGAATAGAATAATGGACTAAGTACTAATCTATTTCTTGTTGACCACTTCACATTCTCTACGTTCTTCATATGCATCATTATGGGTGTCATGATGAGATGTACTATGTGAATGTTCCTCTAATGTTGGTGTTTCTCTTATGTTCTTTAACCTAACTACCACCCAACATCCATATCTCACTGGTAACAACCATCGGCTAACATACATCTATCGAATGTGAAAAGTGAACCGTGAATGACAGTTTATATGAAAACATGTGAAGGGTGATTATCTATTTAAATTGTCATTTAAAGTTCATTTTTCACTCTCGATAGATGTGTGTAATTCGATGGTTATTACCAGGCAATGTATGGAGGTTAGGTGGTAGTTATCTTAAAGAACATAATAAAAGATTTATATGTTCAAGAATCAGTGTGTAATGATATTTTCTAATAATATATGATCCTATATCGTCACATCTTATAACATGTAGATACCTATCTATTTGTTTATTAAGTAATTTGATTATTAATAAATATTATCAACTCTTGTATTTAATTGAAGAAATGTACATAATATATCTAACAATGACACCTACAACGATGCATAATACACCTAGAGGTGACAATGGGTCGACCTGGGTTGAGTTCGGGTTCAACCCATTTAATAATTGGGATGAAATTTTCAACCCAACCCAACCTGTTTATTTAAATGGGTTGATATTTCCAACCCAACCTAACCTTTTAGATAAATAGGTTGTCATCGGGTTGACCTGTTTATGTAGTTCCCGACCCACCCTATTAAATAAATGGATTAAACTTGGGTTAATCCATTTAATATCAATTAAATAAATTATATAATTAAATATTATACCACTTAAATTAGTTCCATAGGTAAATAAAACTTTATAATTATGACAAAAGCACAATCCTAATTTATAAATACAAATAAATTGTTCAAATCACATTAAAAATGTTTAGTTTCAAAGTAATTTTGGAGAGTGACCAGTATTATCAGCGCTAAAAAAATGATGGAAATTAGGATTGAATTTTATTAAACATAGATAATAATAATGCAACATTATAATTTACAAATTAATACTTTGTTTAATACATGATAACATTCAAATAATTATTAAATTATATATATATATATATATATATATATATATATATATATATATATATATATATATAGTTGACGGGTTGATAATTTTTACCCAACCCAACCTAATTAGTTAAATGAGTTAGATGGGTTGACCCATTTAAGTTAAATGGGTTGAAAGTCTTAACCCAACCCGCTAATTTTGGGTTGGGTTCGGGTTGGGTTGATTTTTGTCAGCTCTAAGTACAACGATGAATGGGAGGAACGTAGAGAGTTTGAAGTGTTCAGCGAAACCGACCAAGATACTGGTTAAATCTACGATCCATTAATTTCATGGTAATTTTTTGGAAAAATCTTAATATTTTGACCAAACTAATGAAAAAAGACAGGATACCGGCTAAATCTGCGAAACCGGCCAAAAAATGATTATTTCAAAGTTTTAGCCCGTATTTTGTGTTTTTCTATAAACAAAATTTAGTTTGAGACTTTTCCATAAATTAGACTAAAATATTTGGACTTTTCTGGAGATTTCACTTACCCAAATTATAAAAACTATGTTCAACTGTAATCATGTGTAGTAGGATGTTTTTATCAGTCGAGTCATGACATTTTGTCATCCTTAGCATGCTACAACGATCTGTTCCACCCGAGAAGACCTATGTGCCCTTGAAGGCCTCCTACTTTATAATAGTTTTCCCAAATGAGTAAACCAAGAAAATTATGTTTGGTAATTAATCAGAACTAAAACATAACTTGGTTGTCTTTTTGATATCTACTTGTGGATCAATGAAATGCATAAGTATTTTGAATGAATTAATGCATGTCTCGTTATAACAACTTGTTATATTGTTTGAACTCATCATAGCATTAGGAACCCGAGCTACTAAGGATCTAGCAATCAGTAACTAATCGTGAACCAAATGATGCTATAATATCAAAATCTCACAAATTACATAAAAACTGTTTATATTTTGCAGATTACAATAATTATTAAAGATATATACATTGCATCTACAACATTTTGGAATGACATTTCAATTCAAATCAAAACTAAAATGCAGCAACTGAGGCTCCACAGGTTGAACAAGATAGACAACAACAGGTCTCCATTATGAAGGCTGAGGGCAAAATCGACCAATTCATCCAATTCAAGAGATGGGAAGCAGGTATTATTTTTAAAGGCTGAGGGCAAAATTGACCAATTCGTACAATTCATGAGATGGGCAGAGCAGGTATCAATTTGAAGGTTAAGGGCCAAAACTGTCATTGTGCCTAATGTTTGTAAGATTTGAGTAGTAACTTTCATTTCATCATACAACATTATTAACTTACAAATATTTCACATCAGTAAATTTTCTTATCATCAATTTAGATAATGTAAATAGAAAATTTAATTTAAAGACAAACAGAAAAGCTTTGTGATGAATACAGAAGGTTAAGATCATTGAAGAACTAAAACCCCCAATACACTATGTGTACAGCAAAAGGTCCAAACAGCCCATCAAGAGCCCAACTAAGTGATCTTTGAGATTGATCCTGTTCTTATTTGTTTTTAGAGTCTATCTTTAATTATGCAGGAGCCAATTAAAGACTAAAGACAAAAACTGCATAATTAAAGATAGACTCTAAAAACAAATAAGAACCGGATCAATCTCAAAGATCACTTAGTTGGGCTCTTGATGGGCTGTTTGGACCTTTTGCTGTACACATAGTGTATTGGGGGATTATCAATACACAATGTGTACAGTTGATTCATTTTACTATATGTTTCAAGAACAATATAGAATTTGAATAGGAGATACAACAATTTCTTGGTAGTATGAAAACGCTAAAATCAAAGAAATTTGGGTTGAAATGAAGTAATGAACCTTTTGGTATCAATCAATCATCATATGAAGAATGTGGAGAAGCAGTGCAGCCAATGTCAAAGGGATCTTCAGATCCACAGCAATGCCAATACTGGAACACTTTACCAGATTCAGGCGTATTCATGGTGCCTCCACTATACACACTCTCGAATTTCCTCTTGGTTTCTCCTGAAGATTCAAGAAACTAGTCACAATCGCAACTCTGAGATTAACAAAAACTGTAACATGAGCAAATTTAAACGCTTTCGAGTTTCAACACATACAATTAAAAGAAATGAAGAGCAGATTAATAATTGATTACCACCAAAATGCGCAGTGTGGAAACGACACGCTTGGGGATGATTGAGAGAAGGATCGAATTGTGTTTTACATTGCTTACAAGTTCTCAAGTTCACCCGCTTTGTTTCTTCTACCGAACATTGAATCGAGTATCTTTTGATACTCCGATGAATTCGCAGTTGCGAATTCTGCGTTGACAATCCAACTAAGGAAGGAAAGCGATGAAGACTTGAGGAATTCTGATGAACGAAGGAAGCATGTAGTGGCGCGATTGACGAGTTTATTGAACAGATTTGCATCGTAATTACCAATTTCAGTTTCAAGAACTATGAATGGTCTAGGGTTTTGATGTGATGAAATTCATATAATTTGGGGAAACTATAACTGGACAAACGATGGGTCTTTATAGCTTGGCAAAATGGACCCTTTTAGATTTATTTTTCAATTGATGCCCTCCTTTTTTGCTACATTCACTTAGAAGTCTTTACTAAAATTAGTATTCACGTTCATACTTCATAGTTCATACCCGTATAGTTGAATATTTCCTTAACAACAATATTACACCGTTAAGTTTAAGTTATTTTAAGCTCACCATAGTTCTCAACTTCTCATTTCCTCATAATTTTAAACATAAATAATGATTTTTTTTCTATGTTAAGAGTGAATTACAATTGTTATTTCTTTATAAGTTCTAAGTTGTTACATTACTAATTATTTTATACACCATGCATAAATTGTTTTAGAATGATGAGGTGAATTGTTATTTGGGACCTTAGAGCATACATAATAAGGGTGCCTTTTCAATATTTTTTTGGTATCACATTATCGGTATACCAACAAACAAAAAAGTTTATCAACCATCAAGATTGCAGATGGCCTGGTGGTAATCACTTGGTATGAAATACTTTAAAATGAAGTTGACCCAGGTTTCAATGTTGCAGTCTTCAACCTTTAGGTGACCCATCGTTAAAAAACGCTTAACAAGCATCCATAATAGGGGAGCTGATACAGGTCTCGGGTCGTACGTAAGACTGCCTTTGTGGTTTGATCTACCATTGAATACCAAATCAATTGAATGTCAATACGACATCTCACTAAGGTAGCATTTAATCCATTTAATAATAAATAGACTTGTCACCCCATTCAACTCTCTCATTGAACTTACAAATTACCATTATGGATGCTCTAATAAGCTATTAGAAAAGCTCATATTTTATTTTGATGCATGTATCCCTAGATATTAGTTGTTTGATTGACTTCCTATATAGACATAATAATATAAAAAATTTAAATGTGAGAATATAGTATCATATTTCTCTTGGGTTTATAGCTAAAACTGTGAGCTCTTTATAAGTATTTAAATATGTCCTGATGATAATTTATCATTATGGGTTTTAGCTTATTTAAAGGTTATTGGTTAATCTAATGGTGTTATTGTTATGATGTATACACATTATAAATAAATGTTACTGAAAGATGATTTTCTTTAAAAAAAATGCATTTTATGTCATAAGTTTGGTTATATTCATATTTTTTTGTAATTTAACTCATTAGTTGTATCTCAGTTTGATCTATAGTTTAAGAAATATCAAATTGCTTGTATTTCTTTGGTTTTAATTTTCAATTTACAAATTTTTATATCATTCGAGGCGAAAAAATATTGGTTAAACCGATTTTAGATATAAATTCTTTAGTCTTATTCATTTTATCATTTACATAATTACTCTTCATTGTCTACTTTTTTTGTAGCTTTATTCAACAGAAAACCCTGTAATAATGTCTTAATTTATCATATACATAAGATATGTAAGCTTTTGTGATATCGTAATACATTTAGGTACTTAAAGGTCCTCATAAGCAATAAACTTAGAAACAAGGATGTAAGCATGACTACAAAGTTTAACATGGGCATTTCCTGAAAGTTTGCAAAGCCAAAGGACTATTTTTGTAATTATTCTAAAACAAGCAACGAATACCGTGATTCAAACACGGATCCATCTGTTCTTAACCCCAAATAGATTTTCTAGGGCTCCAATTTGTGATCGTACGACTTCAATCAAACAGTGTAATTGGTTGAATAAGATTGAATAAATGGCAAATAGCAACAAGCGAGATGAACCCTTAACAGCTCCACCGGTCGATCGATGGTTTGACCTAACCCTAGGCTCCTCTTTTCAAGACAATCCTTCCTCCAAATTCTGCACTCTTCGCTGTAAGTACATGTATCTGTTTCCTCTTATGAAATATACGTGCTATTTGCAATAAAATTGCGTCTGTTTGACAGATTGAATGCTTCTTTATGCATCTTGTATGATTTTCTGTAATAGAGTGTAAAATTGTTTGCTGGAATTTAATTAACAATCGACGATTAAGAGATTGTTATCTGAAGGATGATTAACTTACGCAATTGGGTATTTCAGATGAATTTAAACCAGCGTCTATCGATAAAAACCAACCTGGGAAATTGCACAAAACCAAAGATAACAAGGTCGCTGTTGAATTCCAGAACAATCTACCAGGGAAACCCAAAGTGAGCTTTGAAGGTAGCAGTGAAGATTACAAAGACAACGATGCAGTTTTGTTCTTTGATGGAACAAGTTTTAGGTTAGAAAGACTTCACAGATCAGTGAAGCGATTGAGACATGTCCGCCAACCTGGCGAGTCTGCAGCAGTGGCTGCCGCCACTTTACCACCACCTGAAGCATGTTCACCACCACTTGGAAAGGGATCAAAACCTCAATCTTCAAACAAGAACTTCCTTCCTCCATCAGTAAGTTATTCTTTCAATTCTTCCCCTGATTTTCACTTCACAAATTTAACCATAAAAATGTTATCTTGATTCTTGATTCTTGCATGAGTTGAACTCTTTTTGTACAGGTTGAAGTTGAAAGAATTGAAATTGGCAACTTTAAAGGCTTTGGTATGTTCTTATTTCTCATTTTTTTTTACTGTTTTCCACAATCATAACAAATCTTTTTTGAAATCCCAGATGGGAAACCCCGAGAAGAAAAAGTTGTTGAAGATCCATTCAACCCATCAAATTCTTTATACACATCACCAGATCCCAAGAACGATGATGACCTGGACGAACAGCTGGACATACTCAATGATGATGAGGAAGAAATCGATATGAACATAGAAACAGAAACAGAACCCGAAAGGCAACAACAAGCATTCACTGGAATTGACATCAACATTCCTCATCAAAACGAAAGTGATGATGAAATTGCAGAAGTTGATGTTAGTGATGATGAAGGGGATGAAGGTCTTAATGCTGCAGAAGCCCTTAGAGCACAAGTGAATGCTGAGGAAAGAAAAGAAGGGTCTTCGAGTGAGAGTGGGAGTAGTAGTAGTAGTAGTGGAAGTGGCAGTGGGAGTAGCAGTAGCAGTGACAGTGACAGCAGTGATGGTGACTCTGTAAACTCTGTTTAAGAAGTTTTATGTTTTCGGGTCTTGTAAGTTGAGTAAAAGTATTAGCAAGATTGTTGTATGTCATATAAGCAAAAAAGTTGAAAAAAAAAACTCAAATCGTAATTGGTTACGAAATCTTTAGGCTAAAAATTGCAATAATCGGTAAAAACTATATAAAAGTCTTCAAGGAGATGAGTTTTTAGTTACTTTTTGTAAGGTTATATGATAATAGGATGAAAACACTTTGATTATTACCTTGATTCCGAACAATTTTCTTGTATGGTAACGTTTTCATGTTAAATATTCGGTTAATAGTATTTGAATTTGTGTTTTATTGCTATTTCAATTAAGATATTGTATTACCAATTCACTTATCGTTCCAAGTTCAAATAGTGTAGGAATTAAGATAGTTAAATAAAACATACAATATTCCAAATTAATAGTGTAGGAATTAAGATAGTTAAATAAAACATACAATATTCCAAATTAATAGTGTAGGAATTAAGATAGTTAAATAAAACATACAATATTCCAAATTTGTAACACCGAATGTCTAACATTGCAATGGAGTAAATTACATGAATGTCAAACAATACATACCACATTAATAATTATCACAAAGACAATTACTAAGTCATACCAATACTAGTGGGCCGACATTGGTGCCTTCAACCCACGGTTTCCACGAAGGGAGACTCACCTTACTGTGTACGCCGAAATCGTACTCCTCGGCTGGCTCGTAACTGCTCTCCCTAAAACATAATATATTCCCTAATCAGTCATTGGGTCCAAATAGAACTCCCTTATAACCCAAACTTCTAATTCATGTCCCAAGGTAAGGTTTCCTAATCCTTGGCCTATTGGGCCTCTTTCTCCCAAGACCCAACTCCTAATTAAATTAAGGCCCAAGTCCATCCATTTAAGTTTCAAGGCCCATTAAGGCCCAATACCATATATCCTAGGTCTAGGCCCAGAAGCCTTACTCCACAGTGAGTCATGAGGCCAAGCAAATCCAGGCCCAATCACCCAAGGCCCAAAAACCACGTTAACCACTCTGCATGCATACACGCGACGTACTTGGCACGTACGCTCGGCGTATGCTGGCCTTGACCAGAAACGGGAAACTGACCCGGAACGCGCAACGTACTAGGGGTATGCCCATCGTTCCTGCCAATCACCCTAAATTCCTTCTTTTGACTTAATCCATTAAGTCCTAACGTCCAAAACATAGATCCAGGTCCTTTAAGACATCCTAAACCATAAAGTTATAAACTTTATGCCTTTGCATGCATGGATGGGGGTTAAGACATGATTTAAGTCCTTAACACACTTTGTGACCATCTAACACTTGCATGGTTGTGGCTTAATCATCAAGGCCCGATATTTATGACTCTAAATGCTTCCAAGGGCTCAAAAGGACAGCTCTTATGGGCTAGAACTACCTGAACACAAGATCTCAACTATGGAGTCAATAAAACACCCCAAAACTACAACTAAGCATGCAATGGTCAAGTTTGAAGCTTGATACCTCAAATGAGTCAGAAAAGATGCTAAACTCATGGATCTACAAGCTCCTCTCACGTTCTTGCTCCTTCTTCTAACTTCTTCTTCTTCAAAATCGCCAAAAATACCCAAAAGTGCACCAAATTAGCTCACAAAGCATGCAAGAGGCTTAGGGTTCGATTTATACTCTTTAGGGACAGTGGAGGCTAAGGGAATGAGGTTTGGGACGCAGTTAATGTCTTTATATATGGTGCAAACCCTAAAATTTAAGGTTTACAACTGGACATGTTACGCCCAGCATACACAAGCCACCCCCTCCCCCGCTTCAAGCCTCGATCGTGTACGTCGTGCGTACACTATGTACGCCCAACGTACGGTCTTTCTCACAATTACCATATATTATACTTAATTAAATCGAAGGGAAATACCTGGTGACTCGGATGTTACAGTA